TAATGCCCACCCATAATATTCCTTAATGCACGTCGGCGACGTCGAGATTGCGCTGCAAAGGAGACGTCGTGCATCGTGTCGATATCGCAATATTGTTCCTAGAAAATTACACATCAATTTTTATTAGTGTTTTCTTTGACTTGTTTTTTTTTATTTTATATTGGTATGCACTTCTTTATAATTTTATAAAAATGTTTATAATATTAAATATTATGAAGAATATTATCAAGAATTGCAATTGATACACATTGTTTTCTGCTTCTTCTTGCATTGACTCATTAGCTCTCTTCCTTCTTTTTCTATTTGTTAAATTATTCGAGTTTTCTAATTCTATTGCAATCTACTCTATTTTCTATTGAAATAAAAAGTAAAATATAGGATTCAATTAATTAATTTAAAAAATTTGAAGAAGTAGGAAAGCTGGGTTATGTCTTAAATTATTATCTGTTAAGATTTAGCTGCCGTCACACACATAAGTTTATGTCTCAGCTTATGCATGCATTGCTCAAAATAGAACACGGCGATAGGTCGCAAATATTCGTTACCGCACGTCATACAAATAAACCATCATTCATCCGCGCACGGCTCGTTGTAATTAGTTGTCTAGCGTCTAGTATCGCTCCGATCGTCTGGCGTATAAATATTTTAGTCTCGCGGTATCGTTTTGCATACGTTCCCTCGTATGTCATAGCCGACGACGGACCACCGGCGACAACAAGAAACAAATTCCGGGAACAAATTCGTGATGTCGGCGAACGTAGAGAATCGCGATTCTGTACGTCTGGCGAACGACGGGGGAGGAGAGGGGGGGGGACGGGACCCCCCGGGGCGCGTGGACCGCCCCGAAAATATTTTTAATTTTATTACAGTCTGTAATATGGAAATATATTCTACGGTCGCGCGGTTATCAGGTGTGAATTGAATTATAGCGACTGCCGACGCGGCCCTATTATTTATACACGGTTGGGAAACACGTTCTCTCGCATTCGCCGCGAGCGTCTACGATAGCCGATGATACGAAACACGCGGTGCGCAATGGTAGTCTATAAAGCCGCGTGTCGGAGCGATACTAATTCGTTATCCACACAGAATGGCAAGACCGCGCTCCGTTGTACGATGTCTATAATCAATTTCTAAACGGTTGTAGTATTCTCTGTCCATGTTGAAATAAATCTATTCAATTTCTTTCTCTTTCTATTCTCGTTTTTCTTTACTTTCGAAGAATTTTGGCACCTTCCTGCCTGCCGAAATCGTTTCGTTGATCCCCTTTCACACATGTATCGACTTCACACGCTTCTCAAGCTATTATTTGTTCGTAAATTTTTTATGCAGCACTCAGAGAGAAATGTTTTCGAAATATCTTATAGTCCATCACCGTATAATAGCCGATAAGATCTCGTGGGACCTCACTAATGGTCGATTCGCCGAGCACAATAGGACCCGAGTGCTCGCTGATCGACATTGCGTCGATCGCTTTCGAATTCTTTCGATAATCTTCTTTCGTAAAATCGTAAAAGCGCCGCGGAATATCGAATCAACGTATAATTATTACAGACTGGGCGTTCAGACGGAGAATCAATTTTCACTGACCCTTTGCGAAGATATTCTATTTCCAAAAGTGTTCACCTACTGTGCATGCGAGGAGCGAAGATTGATGAATCCGCGTTTCATTTGTTATCTTACGTTCCGTGCAACTACAATTATTTTCAAGATATTAAGAAATATCTTCTACAATCAATTACGCGAAAGCAGTTTTGGCAGCCATTATTTTAAAGATAGAAACAAGAATATATTATTTAGAGCATATTATTATTGTGTAAATACACTTGATGAGAGATCTGATTATTTTCTAAGAACAACCGCGCATTCGATATGTTTGTTCAAAATTGACGTGCGATCTATTCGCGAATGTAGATCGAAAGCGCTCTTCGATCGCGCACAAATCGCCATGAGCTATGATTTTACCGCAATAAAAATGCTGTAAAGAGTTCAGCCAGCGCATATTGATTTTTAAACGGGTTCGACACGTTGTCCCTCGAGATCATACACAGTCGATGATGCATTTTTCAACGACTGTTAAAAAATCATCGATGATGACTGATAAACGGCGCGTCTACGTTATCGCACATGTCTTCTCTCCATAGGTGACCCATTTCAGATGACTTCGAGTCTTTTGCCAAACGAGGAAGTAAGTGGATATGGTAACGTCGCGTATATATCAGCTCGAGATGGTCATATAGCAGTCTATATGGCCTCTCGGCACGGTTCTATATGAACGCGTAGAAATGTCGCCCGTTCTCTCATGTCGTGAAATGTTCCTCTCTCGTGGGTCGCTGGCCTCCTCTTTCTTATTTTCTTTGCTTGTTCTCGTAGGCCTCGTGCTTAATTTCGTTTGCGGAAAATTTCTGTGGAATCGCTTTTTGTTGCTCTAGATTCTTTATGTAGAAGCAGCAAATTTTTAAAATTTGAAATGTTTGTATATAATTATTTAAAATTTTGAATCACTTATTTATAATTTATATTAATATTAACGAAATATGATTTTTCGGACAAATCTTGCGTTTTGCCTGGTCTTCTATACTTATTCAGGTGGTTAGAAGTTTATGAGCAATCTATAGGAAATAATGCAGTTAGACGTGGAACATTTCACTCATTTCTGTTACAAATGTGCTGTTCACTCGCCGCTATTGTTCGCGTCGCTCTTTGAATTGCACTGTTCTAGTTTGCATTAGACCAATTTTGCGTCAAATTACCGCGTATTGTGCCTATTATTAAGATACTTACGAGAGCTATTCAGTATGGTAGAATTGAGAAATGGAGTTTGCTGCAACAAACCTCTCAATTCAGATAAGACGATAACGAAAGATGAGAAAATAAAAGAATACGAAAAGATATCTAATTCAGTTGCGCATAATTTCTTCTGATTCAAAATTTTTTTAAATAAAAATCTTGTTAAAATTAAATCTGTTTCAAATATTCTAAGTATTTAATTTTATTATTTTATTGCACCCAGCACAGCGTAATTTTTTTACAATCCTTTTAATAAATTTTGTAACTTTTATAAAAATATTACTCGATGATATTAAAGTACGATAAATGAGGATAGGATGAAAATTGGAGGGTACAGCAGGGGAGCTTCCGGCGCGCACGATGCACGCTACGCGGACTCGTGCGGACCGTCAGGAAGATTCACAATGCGGGTGCGGTCCATTGGCCGATAATCCTGATTTAGACGGGCCCATATATTAGACTAAGGATCGTGAAATTGAATGGTAGAATCAGCGGAGAGAGCGATCCGACTGTCAACCGCGAGAAACGAAGTGTATCATGTGAAAAATAAACTACCTCTGCCGCGAGCGGGGTTAGTAAATTTTGCAGGTGCGCAAAAGCTACCTGTATCCTCTCTCTCTCTTTCTCTCTCCTCTCTTCGCCTTTCTCATTCTCTCCTTTCAACTCTTCTCTTCGTCGTGTTCCACGACCGCCGATCTCGGTCTTCCCGTCGAGGAGTGCCGCGAATGTCCTCTCCCGAGAGACGGCTCGTAAATCCTTGCATTTACCTCGCGCCTCCTGTCCTTACTTGGAGCGTAAATACGTGAATCTCTCGCGACTCGTCAAAGGCAAGGTGGTCGCTGGCATTCGCCAGCTACGATTGCGTCGTGGTATTGTTCGCTGTGAGAATTTCTGATCTCGTGTTGTTGCATCATACACAATGCCACGTGCAGGTACTAAATTGTTAACGTTATAGCATTGTTACTTTTTATGATATTAAAGACTTAATCGCCTATTTAAGATGCTTGCTTATATTAAATGTATACGGAAATATCGATACATTTTTTTGATAAATGCGAATTTTTTTTACATTTAAATTTGTTGCCAAGAATAAAACAGGTTGCATGGAAGAAATACACTTGTACAGTATTTTTATACTTTTCGCAATGTACGCAAATCCGAATTCTATAAATGACATCGCATCGATTCTGAAATTGTAAAATGCTTGAAAAACGTGAAACAAACGACAAGATTGGCTATCGAAAGGATAGGGAAAGATCTCACGCCTAGTCAACGACGGATTATTACGTTCGAAAGCTATACCACGAGACCGTTATTAATGCGACCGATACTCATTCCGTACTCATCCGTAGATACGATCTCTCCGCCCAGCCAATCGGATAGCCACGTCTAAACCCGTAATTATCATTAGCCCACCCATAGCGGGTGCTGCGCTACAAGGCGACTAACGAAAGTTTCAATTTTACCATACGCTGTGATCTATGCGGCTTGGTTAATTTAAAACGAACGTGTACACATAGCACGCGCCATATCATTACTTTCTTAATCTTGCATCATACGGGCGAATTTTTACACGCTCAAAGAAAAAATATAACATTAATTCAATAATTCCCCGTGCTCGTTTTGTGTTTACTCAACTCTCTCGTGTTTCTAATCAACACGTGTGTTTTCTGATTTAATCGTCGTAAATAATTCCCAAACGTTCATAAAAATGCGCGTCACGACATGCTACGAGTATCGACGAGATAGAATCGGTAGGCTGCGTGTTTGATATCGATATACGCAGTGTCGAATAATGTTGGCGTAATAATCACCGAGTCATCGTGCCCGTAGCTGGAGCGTGCCTTCGGGCTTTCTCTCGGTCTTCACCGCCGCGTATCATTATCCGACGTGAGATTTGAGTTAATCAATCACTCGTTAGCCAGCTATACGCCTTAGCTGTCCGCGATCGCGGCGCGCGATCGTCTCGTGCGGCCTATTAAGCTCGTGCTATTAATTAGCCAGAAACAGAGAATGACTTGCGTATTGCGTACACATTCACGCGAGTCCCTCGAGACGCAATACGTGACGGTGGCGATCATCGCGCAGATGAAGTTGTTCGAAGACGCTGTCTAAAGTTTTCTTCGAAGTATCATGCAGTCGCTGCTGAGAACGATTAATTATTTCTCGCTGCGTTTTCTCAATTACGAATATCGTTTTTTTTGTTTCAGGCAATAGCGAAGAACCTGCAGCCTGAGCAACGGTGAGTATCAGGATGACTTGTGTCGATAAGCGGCGAGATGAATTGTCAGGACACCTCGTATAAACACCGTGGTCGATCACCTCTCGTTCCGTGGACATCGCGCTTACGACACGGTGCAGAATTTCTCTCCTGACCGACAGGGGATGATGCATGAGCGTCTACTAAGGCACATTAGCGAGATCGACGGAGTGATGTCGCGCCGCGGTAACCCGACGCGCGTGAGGGGCGAAAAAAAAAAAGAAAGAAAAGAGAAGCTTCGTTGATAAATCGCGGCGCTCGTGGAAATTATAGCAATGATTATAGTGGCGCGCTCGAAGACGCGATACTTCTCACTCGGTCAGCTACATAAATCTAGCAGGTCGCATTAGCTTGCCGTTAATAGCTTTTAAATCGACTAGTATCCTAATAAATTTCACGGGAGCGCTTTTTTTTAATAACATCTCAGCGCAGACACGAGCGAAGGTTGTTTATTTATGGGGAATCGTTCGTTCGTTCGTTCGTTCGTTCATTCGTTCGTTCGTTCGAGGCAAAGCAGAACCGCGCTCGTTTCCGTATCTACGCACGCATGCACGCATGCATGCGTGCGTGCGTGCGTGCGTGCACCTGGTACGTCTTTCAGAAGGTTTTGATATATCGAAAGGGATGGTGAAACTATTTGGGCCGACACCCCCGCCTAAATCTGATCCCTTTTGCTTGGAATCTCGGATTCCTCGCTTCCCTTAATATATCATCCAGTCATAAAGATCGCGCCCCTCGAGAGGGATCTCGCCGTGCACGCCATCTCAGCCGACTGAGACCTTCCTATCATCTCTCTGTCTATGCGAAGGAAGACGTCACACTTGCTGTTTTACGGTTCAAGTAGCGCAGCGATTTACGAGCGATCGATAAATCGAAATGCCATTTCAGGGCACACATTATAATACGGCCATGTCCGTTGTTGCAGATTTACAACGGCAGTATTGCTGCAAACGTTTCCTCATCTCAAGTATATCGTCGACCTGACAAACACGTGCCGCTACTATGACAAAAAGGTAAGGCATAGAGCCGGAATTTAAATTATTATTGGATGTCTTGGAATTATTGTACAGCGAAGCCAGATACGCATCGACCCGCGATGTTTTTGCAGATTTACTAATTTGTCGATAATTACGCTGATTTTGCAAGAAACACTGTTGCACATGTAAATAAATTTTTTACCTGAAATTGTTGTAAACGATGAAAATCGGGCCACACGCTGGCAGTATCATTTGATGGAATAACACTGATATTGCAACGCGAATTAAATTCACAAACATATCGCGTGTCGTTCGAGTTTCAAGTCATAATTCGCTATGTTTATGTACGCATTCCCTTACCTTTTAGTAACTCGAGACATGAGACGTCTTCTCTTCTCATTCTCTCGCAAGCTGTCACCTGCCGCATTTCTTGATCAAGCAGATATACACAAATTCTTCCCTTTTCTTCCTCGAACTTCGCCATTTGACTGTTATCTTCATTTGTCTATCATGTCTTCCCTCTTTCTCCCTCAGCTGCGCTCCTCCACTTGTTCTCGCCCCTAGACATCCTAATATCGCGCCGGGGTCAGTTCCGACTTGAAGAACGCTCGAGAGCGGCTCGACTGATTTGTAACGAAGATAGAGAGACCGCGAGTTAATGAACTTATTATTAGATTTTTGGAATAGTCGGCTGCCAACGACTCGATCGGCTGACTGACCGAGCGGGAATGTGTCCGCGGTGTTTTCTGGGTCAGAGCTGTCAGGGCCGAAGACCGATCAATTATATTAATAAGTCGTGAAGTCGGTTCTATCTTCTGCTTTTTGTCCCACCGACGTTTGGACAGCCATTTGCCACGCGAGGAGAGCGAGGGATCTTAGGGAGATGTGTTTTAAAAACACTACACACGCCGCCGTGAACATCAATAGAGCTGTGGGGCAACGATAATTAACAGAGAGATCTGTCGGTGTCGCCCACGCCTAATTAGAGCGCATTATACATATATAATGAAGCGCTTAGCCGGTCCTTTAATTTTCCTGCCTGTGGTCGACGTCACGGGAAAAAACGAGATTATAGAGACAAAGCACCTCGTGTGCCGGCTCGTGAAGATTTTATCGTCAGTAACAGAATGTGACTTTTTTTGCTCTCCTAGTTTCGTGTATGATCATTTTTATATTTCTACCTTTTTCAAATCTCATAAATATATAACCCGCATTAAATATAATTAGAGAATTTTTTCCGTGCAAATATTAAAGAATTTATAAAGAGCTCTAATTTTAAAGAAATTTCGTAATTTTGAAGAAAACATTTTTTTTATATAATTGAACTTAAATTTTGTTGATATAGAGAACGATGGAGGTACTTTTAAACGTGTGAAAGAGTTTCTTGCGCACATCGACGGCCTGAGAAGAGAAAATAGCCTCAAGATAGCCATTAAGAGCAATACTGCACGATCACCAGGATTGAGTTTCTAATATCTCACTAAAAGCAAAGTCGAAAAGATTGATTATTATGACGTGATCTGTCATTAGGGTGGAAAAAGGAATGGTAACTGTTGCCTGTGATCATACAACGGGTTAGAATTACACTGTCATTCTATTGCTAACATTTGTTAGTAATTAAAAACAATACAAGGCAAACCTTAACATGCAATACGAAAATTGCAACATCTTGTTATTCATTTTCAAATTATTCTTCGATTTTGATTATTAAAATTTGTAGATATCTTTACATTTTTTTCTCCGCAGTGGCACTCATTTTTTATATGATTTAAGTAGTAGCTTGTTTCTTGTTTAAATTTATTAATTATATGTTTGAAATTTGAGAACACCGACCAGAGCAAATAATAGAGAGATTCATGAATATGCAACACTCGTTGCCTTCAGGCGAATATGCTTGTGCCGAGGAGTTACTTTTCGAGTTATAAACGATTGCATCTTCTCTTCGTTTGTGTTGATTAGTTCTACGCGGCCGTGTCTCTTCTTTCCGCCCTTGCAAGCTTTCTATCTAACGATCGATTGTCTCGGTTCACGAACGTTCGGCTTGCGTCACACTCGGATGACGTGCTCGCACCCAGAGACATATGATTACTCGCATTGTTTATAATTGATGGTTTTATGTGTGATAATTAGCGATGCTAATGAGTGCTCCGGGGTTTAACAAGACAATAGCTCGGTCGATCAAATTATACGCCCGTGCTCAATTAATGCAGCTGCGTTTCACGCGACGGAGAATATTCTGTTTTTGTTACGTAACAACATGCATATGATTATTCATTATGTTGGACGTCTCTGTTATAGGAATTTACAAATGCTGGTGTTAAATATGAAAAGATTGCCATACCAGGGAGGAAAGTGCCGCCTATGGATATAATCAAAAAGTGAGTATGGATTATTTTATTTACAATATTAGATATTCTCCTATGACGTCACGTATCATTTCACTCACCGCATGCGAAATTTATATTGATTATCAATCATCAAATCTCGGTTTGTTTCAAAGGAGGCATATCATTGTATATGTTGCATTTTTAAGACACAGTACACTGTAAAATATTAGTATAAAACTACAATTATAATGGATAATTTTGGGATTGATTATTATAGATGTAAATTTCTATATATATAAATTTGCAGCTTGCAGGTAAAATTAATTTCTAGTATTATAATGAAATAAATGGCGCAAGTAAATTTGCAGTTTTATCAAAAAACTTTCACAGTTTTATTATAACGCTAGAAATTAATTTTATCCGCAAGCTATAAATTTACACATATCTGAAAATTTACAGCTATAACAGTTGATCGAAATTACTATAATAATTGTAATTTTACATTAACTTTTTAAAGTGTAGCTTTAGCATTTTATTTTAACATATTTTATTTTTACTGAATATCCAGAAAGATTTTTTTCTGCTACAAAAAGCGATCAGTTTTGCATAGAATAGATTTCTATTAAACTACGATGGACGCCGCTGGCAATCCACTCGGCTTGTAGAGGCATGCGTGCAGGACACAACGTGAGTCTATTCTGCTACGTCTTGCATTAACCCCTAACTTAATGTTAATCGTATTTCACATTTACTGCCCTTCTCACGACGATTGATCGGCGCGTGATTCGCATAGCGCAGGTGACGGCTGGTTAATCGTCCGCCTGTAAATCATGTGTTTCATCTTAACGAGAAAGCTCAGTCCTGCATGTACCGTTTTTCTGGTTCCGAGCATTTCGTTGTCGAGAAACCAGAGGCGAAATATCGCGTCAGAAATTTATCGCTCGCCGTTCCCACTGTCTCGATATTTTCGGCCGCTAATTTAGGTCGTAAAGCGCATGCTATATAGCGCGAATCGTGTTACACTGTCCGGAATATCTTAGTTCATATTGCAGCGAATAATGAGTTTAGTTACGATCGACCTTGCACGATGAATCTGGTATCGCGATGTCGTTGAGCCACCGCAACGATTTTTGTCGCGCTCGGCTTTAATCATTCGTCACGGAGCGATGATTCAACTTCCGCACTTAATAACTGTGCAGACGCGGTTTCTCAAACGATGAAAGAATTATTTCCAGTCGTGCATTTTTAATTAAAAATCTGTGGCTTGCGATATGATGAGATATGCATAAAACATTTACTATATGAAATCAAGCAAATCTTTTGATGCTTCAGATTATCCAATATTTTTATTGATTTATCTTTTACGCGATATTAGGACTCTCGAAAAAAATTATAAATTCTTAATTTATTATTTAGTTATTTATTGAAAAAAAAAAAATTTAAAATGGGAATAGCAAAATTATAAAATTCACGAAAATACAATCAGATAATAGAATATATTACCAGCAATCGTGCGTCTTGCTTTAACTGACCATGAAATGTCTCGCGATATAAATGGAGAGGACGCAATTACTGAAATCCTCATCCGATGGTCATCTGGTAGCCGGAAGAGATTGTGTAAAATTCTCGAAATTCCGAGAACATGGCAACGAGTATCCGAGATAATATCCAATTCCTCGTACTTCGTGTGAGATGGAGACGCATGTTAACGTTTGCACGGCGCCATCGCGCGCACGCGTGTGGTTCTCCTCCTTCGACATGGTACATGCAAAACAGTCCGACGGGGCGGTCAGTCGACTAATTAACCGCAATAAACGTCCAATGATTTACCGAACACTGTGCGCCGTATCCGTACTCTTGCTCATCTTCCGTCTTCTCTTTCTTTCTCTTCGTGCGTGCGAGGGATATTTTCTAAGTACTCATATGCTCGACTAATGTGTAAAGACTGCATTATACGATCGAGGAAGAGTAATGCTCGTGTACCGTAATTAGCGGCGATTTCTTACGATGTATAAAAACTATTTATTATTACGCTAATAAAAGTATTAATTATCGTGTCTCCCACGAGCGTGTTGGGAAGTGTTTGCGTTCGGCGGAGAAATATGAAGACGTTCCGCGGTGATATTCGACGCGATTATTTCTCCGCGGCGAGGGCGCTACTAAAAACATTCTCGTAAGTGCATCGTGCGAAAAACGTGACACGCGCGCGCACGCTCTTAATAACGTCGGATTTTTCGCCTGTCACGGCATTAAATACTATTTACTCGTTCAACCGCGAATTGACGACGTAATAAATATACACGAGGTATTTCCTTAATGCGGGAACAACCCGGCCGACCGGTCGGCCGGGCGGGTCAAAGCACGACCTTTCGCGATCACCCCGGCTTCTCGCTCTCCTCCCTCGGTCGTCGATCGGCCGGCACAAAGGACGCGGCCCGATTTGTATAATTCGAGGATAAAACGGTGATTCGCATCAACAGTTAATAGCCGGCAGGTATGCGAGCGCAGCCTATCGCGGCGGACGCCCGTCTGGTCCCGACGCACCCGCTCTTTTGTTGATCTCTTTGAGGGAGACCTGATGGCTTTGTGGCTCGGCTGTTGCGCGACGTGTAATTAACTGCATCCTTGATAGGATCGGATCGGTTACCGGCACTGCCGCGATCGAAATGAGGGAGTGAGAGTGAAAGAGACGGAGAAAGAGTGACTATCTCCTCTCCAGAGGTGAAAACTAGGCGCCACTTAATATCCTAGATATCCTTGAACTCTGGCGAAAGTGCGGAGGTGGATGGGACGAGGAGACGAGGCGGGCAGGCAAGGCTAAACCAACATAGCGCGTCGTGCAAAGTCCCGCAAGAAAGAGGAAGTCTTCTGTGTCAATCTTTCCTCCTCGAGTTTATGCCACTTGGCTTCGGTCGGCGCTCTTTGGAGGCCGCGGTGCTCGTATCGACGGGATTTATCAGACGGTAACGTTGACTTACACCGGTCGGAATATTTTGCGCACCCGGAAGATCGAAGGTGTTGATCCTTTGCCTCAAGGATATCTTGAGCGCGTCTACGAAACGCCGCAAGCGTGCCAAAAATAACCTTATAGCGCCACTCGCTGCCAAGAATGGTATTCGGAAGGCAAATGACATTTTCTTATTTCGCTGTATGTTCAGGATCGGCGGTCAGCAATTGAAGGAGAAAAGGAACGCGAAGAATGAACGAGCGAGCAATGAGATTACATTCGATCGCGATAGAGTCTTTAAATTCGCCACAATTAATGACGTGCCTTGAATAGCCGGTTTATAGCAACAAGTGTCCTATATTTATTCGATAATTGATTTGCTTGATTGGAACAAGCAATCAAAAGAAGACGTAGAGACATAAACTGCACATGTTTATGTGCTGTTCTTAATAAGAAAAATTTAAATTATTATTGAAGTTGAACAGTTTGTTTTATTGTGTAGGTATTTATTAAATTATAAGCAACGTATATGCGAGTAATATAGATGTATTCAAAATTCAATGATACTGTTAATGAACTGTTAATTTGTTAATTAACGAAGAGTTAAAGTTAATGTTATTATCTTTGAAGAATAAACAGGTAGCTGATTCCCGCGGCGTGCAATGTTCGGCTTGTACCGTAAACGTAAACTAATTACCGACGATAATCACGTTGATAGCAGCTTGTTAGCCGCGTGTGCGGCGTATTAAGCAATTTCACGTGAAACGCGATGTTAATTGAAACGTGTGCAACGCGAGCTTGCTACACAGTCCGAGGACTGTCGAGCTACGGCAGCATCAGGTTCCTTCTGCTTGTGGCGTATAGGGTTGTGCATAGGGCTGTTGACTCATGCTGCATCCAACTGTATTCATTAACGTTATCAACTCCTCTCCACCTCTGCAACGCGCTGTCCCACTCTTGTTTGTCTCGCTCTCTTACAAGCGGTTTTAGTCTTTCTATGCGGCTTCTCACATATCTGTATGTCGTCACGTACGCTGATAAAGTGAATCTTAATTTCGATGTTTCCTCCGCTCGTTTTCTTTATCTATCGCACGTTTTGATATGATTACACGGTTAACGTTTGCTAAATGCGCCGTAATGTGATATCAATGAAAAGAGACAACTATCAAAATTTAATTTTTAATCTGCGGAATTTAAAATTTGTGTGGATAAATTTTGTTAACATAATGACAGGTAATATAGGAAACGTAAGTTTAAATATTTTAGCTAGTCAATAAAGCAAATATTGAGATAAAAATCGGAGAAATAAAATATAAGATAATGATCTAAACATTATAAGATTTGCTACGATCGAAGAATACATGAACCGAAATTCTCCACGAATACGAAACAAGTACATTCGAGCAAGCAAGAAACGTGGGTGTTTGATACTTCACGCGAGATGTCTTTATTTGCACAGACACTGAACATAGGTTTCCGCATGTCGTCTGCCTTGTATTGCAGAACACTGCATATATATTCTGCAAGCGCGAAGAGATACCCTTTCGCGATACTCCGGGAGTACACGGGAGAACATTCGAAGAAGCTGAAACTTTTTTTAGTTTTGCGAGCAAGCATCGCGCAAGCATCTCCATTTTCCACGATATATAATAATGTTTGTAACGCGTCATTAAGTTTTCGGATCGCTCGAATTATGCAGCTAATGATTGTTAAACTGAACATAATTAAAAAGCATATTAGGATTTCCCATAAGTTTAATGAGGAACTTAGATCTCGCTAAAAGGAGAAAGCACAAAGTAATCTCCAAAGATCGCGCGAACGTAAACGCCGACGACGTTTCTGTGAAAGATCGGCGATTGGTTCCCTCAGCGCCCGGGGCGAACCCATCTCAAACATTCTGACGTGTGGCGTCTCGGGACCGGTGCTGCGTGCCGCGTGGAAATCACGAGCGAGGCGCGTTTTGGCAAGTGATTGTGGGTGGTAACGCGCCTTGTTCCGCGCGCGCGTTCTCTCCCATACGCCCGAGCGCATAATGCGCCCGCGTTACTTCATATTTCCGGTGCCGTTAATTCGACTCGTGAGCCCCGACGACGCCGTAGGTACG